TGCCAGCTGTGGGTGTAGCAGCTTCCTGCAGAGGGGTGGAGAGGAGGCTGAATGCAGGGCTGTGCTGGACCGGGTCATCTGCGTCCCCTGTGAGTCACAGCTCAGTCTTACACTTCTCAACCCGGTCTAACCAGATACTCCTGGCTGGCACATGAAAACCTGGTGCCACCTTCCTCTCCCTTCCCGCTCACATCCTGGGTTTTAAGAGGCTTTTTGCTATAAAGGAGACTTGGTTGTGCCCACCTGCCACCTAACTTGATTTCTTTTGATTGCACTATAAAAAGAAGAGTTCCCCCTGCTTATCACGTTTGTGCTTTGGTTAAAGTGTCAGGCATAGGCAGATTAATTGGTTGTAGCTTTAGCAGAGCTGTCAGGGTATTTAACCCATTGAAGAAAAATTACCTAGGCTGGTGATAAACAGGCTTTAAATGCAGAGCAATTACTTAGTGCTAACAAAGCACCATGACTACACACTGTATCCAAATGCAAAAAGCAAACTCTTATCAGTGGTTCTGTTTGCAGGAGGACACTAAAAGATAACCTTTGTTTGTGCAAATACTTACCTGATAAGATCATCCAAGAAGGAACAGATGAAATTTCTGTCTTGCCTGAAGGTTATACTTCAGATTACAAAGTATCAAGCAAAAAAGAAGAATAATCAGAAACTGAGAATGCTCACTTCTTTCTTTTAGTTGGATCAAAAGTCTTGGATAATGTGTTTCTTTTCTGCTTGCATTGATTGTGTTTATATCTAGGACATAACAATAAAGCAATTTAGAGACCTTTAACCAACAGGACTTTGGATTTCATTGTTCATAATAACTGGCAAAGCTATAGGCTGGTTAGCATTGAACTTGGTTTGTTCATTGCAGGTAGCCAGGGTTTACAGCACAGCAGTCCTGTGACTCATCAATGGTGAAACTGGCCCGGGAGTTTCCAAAATGGGCAAGTTTAGGAGATGCTTTTAGTGGGACATGCTCTTGATACCATTTGCCTCTCAAGGGTCACAGGTCACATTCTGAAGCTGCAGAGGTTTGAGTTTTTATTGTGATGAGTCTTAACATCTTGCAGTTGACCTCTGTCTAGTTCACTCCAGTTTCTTTTCTGTGTTAAGATTAGACTGAAAGGCCACTGTTTATTGAATGCCCTTAATTGACCAATTAAAAAAAAATCTAGTTAGTTGTAGCACATCAATCAAAAGATTTACAAAACTGACATATTTTATTTTGCTTTCCAATGGCTAATCAGAGATTTCCCATTTGGTGTTTATAAAGGACCTTTATATTAAGGGAAAAGTAAAATTCAGACATGTTTGGTGTTTTTGTATCAAGGCCTTGTATTAATCTAAGCATGCTCAAAGCTCCTGATGCAACCTTGTGCAGAAATAAAATACATATTTTCTAGTGAAGTGTTCCTAAATGTCATTGTCTTAGCCTGGTCTGTGTCTCTGTGAGATTTTTGGACAAGAGTGTGATTTTGGGATGATTTGAATGCCTTGTAGTACTTTATCTGGATGGAAATGCTGTGGTGTGGTATTTGTGTGAGCCCCATCTCGCCTGCTGTTCTCTACTGACTTTGGTTTCCTTTGAACAGTTTCACTTGTAGATGACAGAGTGACAGAGATAGCATAGACACTACTTTCCTACTGGCTACATGGTAGGAGGCCTCCGTGTTGGGAAGCCAGAAGCTCTGAATTAGTCCTGTGTGCCTCCTACTGAAAAGGACTTTATATCAGTCATGACCTCATTGGGCTCAGAGAACCTGTGCAGGCAAGCAAATGGTTGGAAACCAGCCATCAGTCATTTTCTTGCTCACTGGAGTACCTGGTCTGTATGGATTTCCTGCCTCAACTGATTTGCCTGCGTTTTATGAGTTATTTTGAAAATGTGTTTGGGTTTGGTATTTTGGTGCTTGTTATACTCTTGTTCCCCAGCCACTAGAGGCTGACAAAAACTGACAATGAACAGATGCATTTTTGGGAGGTGGTTTCACCAGTTACATTCAGGTAGCTGTTGAGCTTTGGGTTTTTATTTTCAAACCGGACTAATAGAAATTTTCTGGAGAAGAACTTAATTGCAGACATGCAGCACAGCAAGATCTGTTTTTGAAGCAGTTGCTCAGCTTGCCACAGGTGTGGTGAAAACACCTCATTTATATGAGTGGGGGCTGAGCTGCCTCCTTCTAGGCAATTTCAGGGTTTCACAGCCATGAGGCTATATGGTTTCCACCTTTGGTGGTGTGAGCAAATGTTGAAGGAGTGTTTTGCACCTCTGTATTTATTGGGAATCATGCAAGGACTGGCCCAGTTACTTCATGACTTCTGTAATGCTGTTGCATTTGCGAGCTTGGAGTGCCCAGATTTTTCTCTGTGGCCTACCAGAGAGAGCCAATTTTCATTTTTCAAGTCAGTAGAAGGACTGCAAATCTGAAGCTGTACTAGTCTTACTTACTGTGGGGTTTTTTATGCCTCAGCTTCTGTAGCAATGGAAATAATCACTCCTCTCACTTGAGTGCTGAGTATATATATGTGTGTGTGTGTATATATATTTTTTAATATGTACACACTGCATAAAACTGGGAGGTCAGTACCTGCTTTTTTTTTCCTGGAAGTAGACTTGGAAGGGAGGACGTGCGTTGGATACCAGGTCTGCAGAGCTATTGCTGCAGATTAGCATGTGTTAAGGAATGGGACAGGTATAGGGATAAGATTTGTCACCAGGGCCTGTGCTGGCTGAGACTTGCCTGACAAAGGAATTTGGTTGATCATGAGTCTGCTTTTCACCTGCACACTTTTTACTAGGAGTTAGAACTTGCAGGAAATAAGGAAGTAAAATGCCAGCCTTGAAGGCAGGGGAGTGTGATGTTAGTCATCAATACTAGTCATTTACAGGTTTTGCATTATGGGCTATTCAGGCTATTTCCTGGACAAGAAATGTTTCATTAGCTAATGGTTTTCCTTAGCAGTGCTGTAAGGGCATCAGCAGATAATACAGCTTCTGGCAAAGCTGTTTAGTGCCTACCTGATTGATCAGGGGAGAATGATGGTAAATTTTAGTGAAAGAAATTCTATCTGAGCTGAAAAAATACTAATGCTTTAAAATGCTGTTCAGAGTTTACTCCTTATTTGTAATATGTCTACTATGTTCAAATGAGCAATTCCAGTCTCATATGTTGTCTGAAGTCTGGGTTTTGACTGTTTTCCAGTGGTCTTTGACATTGTGCCAAATGTATTCTGAAGGTGTATTGCAGCAGAGCCACTGCAACACAGTCCCCTGAAAAAGGAGCAAAGTATAACCTACAGAGCCGAAAGGGAAAAATGGCAATGCCCTAGTGAGATTGCAGCTGAGAATTGGGTGGGTAGAGTGGATAGACTTGATGAGTGAGAAGGAGCAGTGGCACAGTCCAGCTCCAGAAGAGTGCCATAAGGTGGGTGGTCTGCAGTTGTCAGTGCCTTGCTTGTAAAACTCTTCTCCTCCTACCTCAGTAAATCTTAATTTTTTTTTCAAAAGTACAAAAGGAATTATGAATTATTTGTACTGTCCACCTTAGCAGCAGTGAGAGGTTCTAGTCTCTTCAGTACATACAGCTTTGAAAACTATCAGTGTAAGGCTGTTTAAGACAGCTAATGGAATACCAGAAACAGAGTTATTTTCATTATTTCTTAGAATCCATGTTCTGTGGAGAGATTGCTTTTGGTAGTCTTGTTCTCTTCATTGGTGTTTTACTGATTATTTGTTGCAGCTTCTAAAATCTTTTCTTTGAGCTACTGTGTGCTTTCTCAATAGTCTTATATATCAAGATAAAGTGTAAGTTCATATCAGCTTTCACTATCTTTGGGGTGCTTTTGAACATGTGCAGTGGTCTCTCTGTTTACTGCCATTCAGCTCTACCATTACAAACCAGTCTTTGCCAGAGCTTTGTTCATGCATTTAATAATATGAAGAGTTTAATTTCTGTATTGCGTTTAAACAATGTGGTGGAGATTTAGGAACTGGATTTAAAATATCTCCTCTGAAAGAGAACATGTGGGCAATAGTTTCACTTCTTAAGATACTTGGTTGCTTTTCTTGCATGAGTAATCTCCCCTCCCCAGGAGAACTGAGTGTGGTGGTGTATTTGTTCTGTGTAGATGGAAAGTAAGGCTGGTTAGATTGTTGTTTCTCTCTGTGTGAACACAAAGATAGATGTTCTTTTTCTGTTCCTGACATCTTTATAGAAGATACATTTTCATAAACGTTTTTAGTTAATATCCGCTTAATGTTCCAATGTCCTTTTTTTCCTCTGTTTTCTCTGTGATGTTATATTAACCTAGTTTTTTTGTTTTACTGCCAATCAGTCTAATTAGGGCATCTCTTCTCTGTTCAGTTTCCTGTAATTTAGCTTTACTTATCAGCTCTGTCAGTACATAAGCAATGGTCTTGCCTGAAACTTGGCTTATGTTAGGTAAATACTGCTTTCTTAAGTAAGTCATTATAGAGTCTATACCAATATATATATATTTCTGTATGGAAAGGGGATTGATATCAGTCAGCTTGATCTTAAGAAGAGTATCTGTGTGGCCTTTTTTCCCAATATAGTTATTTCAGTTACAAAACCATAAATCACATGTGAAACTAAGTGTTACAGCATTGTAGCAAACCAGGAATCTTGTCTGAGACCATAAGCAATACTTCTAATGTGTTATTTGCATTATTTGTTTTTATTGGTGCATTAATTGTTTAAAGAATCATTGTCCGTGGTCAGAAAGAGCTTTCAGTGGCTATTAATGCCTCAGTATATCACCTGACAATATGATAATGACACTGGCACAGAAATTATTCTTATTGTGGGACTGTTGTGCCCATGCAGAAAACTGTAAAAATAGCTGGTGCTTAGAGGGTGATATAATTCTAGTTTCTTTCTCTCTAACATGACTGTCCTGCCATTATTTGGTGGGGAGAGGAAACTTAGGAGTTTCCCAGTCAAAAGGGTGTGACACATACCCATTTTTCTCTTTTCAGGATCTTCCCCAGAGAGTATCTTCTTCAACAAATCCATCTTTATTCTCTGGCAGACCTTCAGCAGGTGAGTGTCTTTGATTTATTCTACCTGTTACACATGGAACCTGTTCTTGCCTTCAGAGCTAATTGTGCATTTCTCTTCTAGCCTTTCATAGCTTAAATACCTGTACTTCCAAGTTGTGTGGTTTGTAGTTTAGTATAATAATGGGTTAACAGTGGCATTGATTAGGGATGAAAGCCTAGAGCATCAGTGTTCAAACAGGGATGGAAAGAGACTGAAAGAAAACTGTAGTCTCTAAAGAGAACTTTGCTATGAGAAATTTTTCATCTGCTCAATAAATTCTCATCTAAGTCTCAGCCAACAGGTGACAAGTAGTATTTATTTTTTTGCTTGAAATAGTAGTTGCTTGGGAATTTTGAAGTTTGTAAAGTTCCTAATGCAGCATGATTCTTTACAAAGTCAGCTGGGCATTGCCATGAGGAGGGGGCAGGGGGAGACCTAACCCCCACCCCTTTCCCCCCAAACCTCAGCCAGCCCACTACACAAAGCTGAGCTTTGCAGTGTTACCATGACAGATGTGACCGTGGAAGAGGTAATGTGCCAGCAGAATTTGTCTTTGCATTGTTATTGATTCAACTAAAAGAACCTTGAAGTACATTTACCTGAACAGCAGAATTTTATTCTGTAACAGATTAAACCAGACAAAATTGAGAAAAAGAGCTGAAAAAGGAAGAATAGGGTATTTAAGGTGAATGTGCTCCAATGCTCAGATGCACAGTGAAGGAAGCAATGAGGTGAAGTGTGCTGGTTGACCTGGGCACTTCAGTGTTCACACTAATGCTGTTGCCAGTGGTGTGTAAAACAGTATTTTAAGCTTCTTTCACCTATGTTTCCCTTCTCTAGTGGTGCCTTTTTGCAGGATAAGAGTAGCATAGTCAGTTCTGGATATTTGGTTGACACATTAAGTTGAGGTTGTTCAGATGCCCCTCAGAGCTGAAGACTACAGAACAACGGGAAACGTGGCTTTTGTTGGCTGGTAAAATCACAGGATATAAATGATTCCATATATAAAATAAAAAGGCCAGTTGCCTGAGGTCTGAAACTGTTTCCACATCTTTTCAGCATGTTCTGCTATCTCATCTTTAATAATCAAGCCATGAAAACGCGAGCTACTTAACTCCAGAGCTGCAGTCTCCCTGGTGGGCCTGTCTATTAGCCCCCAGTGCTTTGTAAGCTGCTTAATCAGTTCCTAACATTGGTAGTAGACATTTTAGAAGCAAGCAGCAGCTTATCAAGCATCCTGGGGGAAAGAAGGAGGGTAGAAGTCATAATTCATGCATTGATTTAGCACTTTCTTATAACATGTTTCTTTGTGTTTGTGTTTGCAAGACACCTTCTCTTCCCCTGAGGGGCCCAAACTTATCATATTTAGAGGCAATATAATTTGATTACCATTTCTGCTGGGGTGGGTTAAATTACATTTACCTTTTAATCTAGCTATATCCTCGTTGTCAGCATGGAGAGGGTGTCCTACATTTCAGAGGCTCCAAGTTTGAAATCAGATTGACTGTTTTTGTTGAAGTGGATCCAGAGTGGAAAAGAGAGAAGGGCCCCATTGAGAGAATGAATCCGATGGTCATATAAATACTAATAGCCTTAACAGCCCCTCCCTCCTGTCTGCTTTGCCGTTACTGCTGCTTTCTCCTGGTTTCTCATCATTTTCCACTGACCTGCAGTTTAGGTAGTTTTAATCCTGAAAGTTTTTCCTCCTTTTGATTCCTCTGCTGCCTATTTCCTCATATCCATGGACTGCTTTTGCACTGTTTCCTGCTGTCATGTAGATTGCATGTATTTGGGGAATTAACTAAAAGGTTTATTAAAGATTAATGGAAAGATAAGGCATGGTGAGTGAATTAGAAAAGCAGAGAGGGGTAATCTGCAGATATAAGCAACCTTTACCCTGGTTAGTCCCAGCTTAATGCTGATTTGTTTCCTGGGCAAGTTCCCTTTAAAGATCCTAGAAAACATGGTAGTTTCCTACCAAGCAGTTGAGTTTCAAAAATAGGGTTTGAGCGTCTTTTCATAGTTGCAGAAAGGTTGAAATGCCCGTTTGACAGTAGATTAAGCAGCTTGTAATACTATTCTAAAATAAAATCCAATATACATCTCTTTCCAAGCTTAACAGGGCCTAGACATTATGAACCTAGCAGAGTATATACTTGGACTGTCTGGTGTCACTTGGATCTGTCTGGATAGGGCTCTAGTGTGGAAGACTTTACTGTGAGGTTAAAAGCAGAGAAAAAAAAATTTGGAACAAAGTCACCTTAATTTTGGAAATTTCCCAAATCCTGGTGAGGCAGTGGGTTTGCTGGTAGTTGTGTTGTTAGCAAATGCTTGGAGTGCAGATGTGAGTAACCAAAGAGCAGCAAGTGACGGTCTTTATTTGTATGTACACAGAAATGCATCCATGGGCTCCAGAAGGTTTTGCTGCAGGCCTCAGGTACTGCATTTAAGTTTACAGAGGTCTACCTGTGTGCATTCCTGTGGGGTAGGTGTTCTTAGAATCCTGGTATCAGCAGATGAGATAACTGATTGGGTATGTTCACACTGAATAGGCAGAAACACCAAGTGTGATTTAACAGGCACAAACACCACAGCTTGCCTGTTCTACCTCATTGGCTACACTTGTTTGTCTTTGCAACCTCATGTCATCTGCCCTGCATCACCCATAACCCTCTGCATCTCTGTTAAGCAGTTTATCCAGGGTTATTCCAGTCAATTAAAGCTTTCAAGAGGGAGATCTCCACTTGCTAGGAAGCAAGTATTCACTCCTGAATTTGGTGGTGTTAGCAGACATAGTATACTGAAAAAATGAATTAGTCTTATAGACCGTGGTGTGCTGTTACAGTGCAGCATAGCTTCATCCTAAACTTGCTGGAGGTGTGAACTCTCTTCTCTGCTGACATTACTGATACTTTTGTGCATGTATGAACAGAGTTCATGCAACAGGAGTTAAAAACTGTCCATTTAGATTTTACAGATGTGATTAGGGGCCTGCTTTTATTGAATCTGACAATTTTTACTCTGTTATATGTTGATTTAGACCGCAGTTGATGCAGACAAGAGTCTTGTATTTCTTCTGAAAAATAATTCTTGCTCCTTACACTACATAGCACATTGATGGGAGCTTTTGAAAAGACTAGAATGGGCTATTGTAGTGATTTCCAAATTCAGACGGTTCATCCATAGAGAGTCAACTAATATCTTGCCTCCTTTTTATGTTAAGTAACAAGATACATAAGTGTGCAAAAAATATTGCAGTGATGCACAGGAAGTTCCACCTGAATATGAGGAAGAACTTTACTGTCCAGTGACCATGCATGGGAACCTGTTGCCCAGAGGTTGTGGAGTTTTCCCTCTCTGGAGATATTCAAGAACTGCCTGGACACAGTTTTGTGCCACATGTTCTGGGATAACCCTGCTTAAGGAAGGAGATTGGTCCAGATGACCCACTGTGGGCCTTTTCAGCCTTACACATTGTGTGATTCTGTGGTGGTCTCTACTGTAAAACTCTCTTAATCATGACAATTATTTCATCCTGGTTATACCAACTCTAAATGATACAGTAAAATGAAAAGAATCCACATAAGTACAAAAATTACTGGATGTCAAGGATGGAAATTGTGAGCAAGATGGGAGATTTAAAAAGATGATAATTTGAAGACTTGTTTATAAGGGAACACTCAGGGAAAAAATAATGAAGTGACAAAATATGGAAATTTAAAAAGATTAGTTGAATTACTTTGAATCACTGTGTAAATACTGTTATTGAAAATAGAAGCAGCTTTCATTTGGTTTATCTCCATTTACTTTGGAAGCAAAGTGACATAAATTGCATTAAGGCCATTTTAATTCTGAATGTGTATGTCCATACAGGGATTTAATGTAGTATAATTTATCCATTTTAACATTGTAGATAAACTAATCTGTTGAAATTTAGTTAAAACATTAGTGACTTTGGATCAACTTTCCTGACTACCTGTAGATGAACCTACAAATAATGTGAAGAACAGTGCAGACAAAGGATGAACAGGAGAGCCCTGTTCTCACAGTAATATGGCACTGATCATACAATGAGTATGAGGGACATATAAAAATCCTTAATGGAAATGCTTCTTTGCAAAACACAATGAGTATGAGGAGTTTAATGCCACAGTAGTGTCATTGAGGCCAGAAATGTATCATCTTTGAGAGGATTAAGTATCCATAATGAGAATATCCACAGTTACAGTACATAAAATAAAGGGATTATAAGATTACAGACTAGACATACGATATTGAAGGGATTAGGAAGATGTCTCCCCTACTGACAGACAGATCAATGATTTCATCTTCCTCTGACGTTTGGAACACTGATTACACACAGCACTGATTACAGCTCCTGGGAGCATTTTGGGCTTGCTGGACTGTTGGTCTTACAGAGGCATTCCTCACTGGGAAATCTTAATGTTTCTGGTCAAGCTTTTATGCATATAAGGCTTCCTAACAAGAGTGTGGGGAATGAAAATGAGCTTCAATGAAACAAAAGTTCTACCTAATTTGAGCCTAATATATTGTTAGATTAGGATTAGAAAGTCTTAGAAGAGGAAAGAAATCATGCAATCTCCTTCACTCCTCCAAGCTTTTAGCCCACACTGTACTTGCATTGCACCTCCTAGGCAGAAGTGAAGGAGTAGATCAGAGATGCTCTTCCTACTATTTTTATGTATGCAAAACTTTAGGTTGATTTAGACAAGTTGTTTCATCAGTCCCAAAACCAGCAAAGAATGCAAGATGTGGACTTCTTTTGCCTTTTACTTGCTGTGTTTTTCATAAGTAAAACTTCTTTTCTGATAACTCAGTCCTCATACCATTGCTGATAGATGCTTAGTATAGATTTGTAACATACAGCCTCATGAATTCCAAACCCATCAGTGCTGGTGTCCCTGCCCAGCAGTTCCTTTTTATTGACTCAATAAAAGGATGGGATGTAGCATCTAACCCACATAGAGCCTGTGCATGTG